ATCAGTGAGAGATGTGTTGTAAATACATATACTATAAATAAATATAATACCTACCTACTTATACAATGGATGTTAAAATAAATGAATATACTACCTACAATAGAAATTTAGCTCAATGATTTTAAAGTTTGACAGTTCAATTATAAAAATAAATAAATTAAGATTATGACTCAAACGAAAGAAAATGTAACTTCAACCTTTTCTTGAAAGAGGTAATTGAAGGGCTCTCTTGTATGTGGGAAGGGAGTTATTTTAGTTACTTTCTACCAATATTAATTTCCCCATAATACTTAAGGAGGTTGGTGCTGTGGCCCCTTAACACAGATTTGTTATACTATATGTTCTCCGTAACCGGCGAGCGTGTATGAAAAGATTGATCAATGTGGAAGAAGCGAAAGAGATACTGTAGTTGTTGCAACTGAATGGCTTTGTTGCAGTCGCATTTATTATTGGATCATGCTGTATGCACATGTTGTGGCAAGTTTACCTGATCAATACATTAATGTACTTACATGTTACAGTTTAAGTTCGTATTTGTATAATAAAATAAAATATGCAAATTTATTGTTTAGCAAAGCGACAACCCTATTACATTTCTAAGGCCCGAGACGCACGCGCGTAAAATAAACGACACGCGACTTTTGGTCGTTTTTCCATTGGCTAATTATCCGCCGGCGTGTGCCAACAATCGGAACAATGTCGATAATCTGTTTTTGCATTGTTTTCTTTTGCTACAGACGGCGTCTAGACGACCTTACGTGCAGACGTAACGTGTGTAACATTCTTTATGTCAAAAATAAACTATTCGTGTACATTAGGGCTATTTAAAGCTTCCAGAACTGTCTGCAACGTACAGAATTTTCGTACACACATATCGAAAAGCTAAAAAGGAAACCTTATGATGAAATTTCGTTTGTCCCTCTATCTGTCGTTGCGCTACATATATTTTAACTTCCGATATTGTTGATATAAAAACATGGAATCGTTTTAGATGTCCAGTTTTATTGTAAAGGGACCAGATACAAGATTTACCAGAGGGAGACTTTGTACAAAAGTCGACTGCTTGGGTACCTCTGTCCCATTCGTGTTTCAACCATGAAGCAGTTGTGTTTGCATGGCTGTGTTTCGGTTTGAAGGGAAACCTTCAAACCGAAACACAGCCGGCCAGAACAGGGAAAGGGTCCTCAGGAATGGCAACGCATGGGCGTTATGGGTATGTTATGTTATGTCCATGCTGCTGCTCATGTTTATAGGCGACAGTTACCACTTTCCATCAGGTGGGCCGTCAGCTTGTTTGCCATTCTAAGTTGTATAAAAAAAAGGTAAAATAAAAATAATATTTTTATTTTTACTTATTCGAACTTCTTAAAAAAACCTTCACATGAAATTCCAAAATGGGAGCCGACACATGCGACAACAGATATCCTATTCCATAATCTATGCAGATATCCAAATATCAGGTTTATAGGCAAAATCACTTTATCATCATCGTCTCAGCCATTATCCGTCCACTGCTGAACATGGGCGTCCCCCATAGACTGCCATAAGGATCGGTCCTGAGCCACCTGCATCCACAGACATCCTTCAATGCATTTGAGGATGTCACTACATCTAGTGGGTTGTGGGGAGGGCAATAGTCCTACACCGCGTTTGCCTGTACAGGGTCGCTACTCAAGAACTACAAGTACTTGCAAGTCGCTGACCTTGCACTTTGACGAAAATTGTGACAGAGCCCAATAATTCTTCCCACACACTACAGCCTTCAACTTGGATCATAGCTAAATATGTTTATCAGTTTTGAGGTATAAATAAAGGAGATGGATTTATTTTATGAAATCATCCAGACTCTAAAAGGTCTCTGCTTAACATATAGTTGGTTTTTATTGCATGATAATGGTAACCTAACCTGCATTGTCGATATACAATGGAGAGGGACCAGTGAGGGATGTTAGGTGAGGATAAATGTAGCAGTTAGCCTATCAAGATGAATTAACTAGGAATTAAAAACAATGGTTTCCAGAAACAATCACGTGAAGGTGCACCTTATAAGGTATATTGCTAACAATGTGGCTGTTACATCCCATTACTAATAATCTCTTTCCCCCATGAGAATGAAGAAGAATGAAAAATGAAGTCAGGTCAGATCAAGTCGGTTAGCCCATTGTGATGAATTTCACAAGATATAGGTACCATTTGTTTTGTATGGAAAACTGCGCGGCGTCCACCTGATGGGGTATATACCTAAGAATGAGGCTGTCAGACCCCATTACAAACAATCCCTTCCCACCTTCCTATAATTTATGTAACAAAGTTTATGAAAAACTAGTAAGTACGTCATCACCGATCATAGTACTGAGGTGATAATTCTAAAATTGCTCATCAGCAGATAGCACTCCGAACCCAGCGGTAGAATCATAAAAAATTGACGATTTAAACAAATTTGTAAACAGGTAAAGAGGTTTCTTCAGGGTCGGCAACGTACGCGTAATACCTCTGGTATTGCAGGCGTTCATAGGCTACGGTAACCACTTACCATTAGGTGGGCTGTATGCTTGTTTGCCACCTCATTGGTATAAAAAAAAAAGTCTATTTGAATTAGAATTATTTAGAATAGAATAGAAACATTTATTGCCTTACAATTACAATATAACATATAAAATGTATGGTATATGTTATACAAAAAGTGTCCCATACTCGGCAAAAGGAACCGGCTCAGCTGATGCTGTGAGTGTCCCAGCGCAATGTGAACAGCTGCACAGCGCTGGTTTTCAGCCAGCTATTCTATTCTATTTAAACAGTAATAATAATAAATTTTAGGCACTAATAACTGTTTTGACGATGTTTCGATTATGTTTACGTTACGTCCAACAAAAACAAGGTCTCGCTAACAAAAGATATTGAAACTAATACTAGAAATAAACTACGCCTATATTAATTGGAAAATAAAAAAAAAATGTTAAAAAAGAACTACAACAAATAGTTCTGTTAGTGTATTATTTAGTCCTAATATTATACCAATAGTAGTTTATTTATTTATTTATACTTTATTATTTATAATAATAATGCATAAAAATATGACAGAGGTAAGCAAATGTACAAAGGCGAACTTAGCTCTAAAAGAGTTCTCTTCCAGCAAACCCAAAGTGGAAAGGAGTATCAGGTTGTTTGGACCATTGAGTTAAACACGAACATAAAATACATGTAATTTATTATTTATTGAAACATTATTCTTTTTGTAATAAACATAAACCTGAATTATAAAAATGTCAACTATGTATTATAGTAAAATATTATTATCAGAATAATCGTCCAATGAAAAATAAAGTGATTCAGAGTCATTGCAATCTATGGAAAATTTATCATAAATTAACAATGAATGTACCGATAGACTTCTATCTGATAATGTGATCAAATCAAGTGATAAACAATATCGAATTCTAGGATTGACCATCGAAAATGACCTTATAACTTCATCTGATTTACATTTATTTACTTTTTTATTAAAACCGCGAGATTTTTGATCGAGAACTTCGAGTAAAGCGACGCATTTGTCATTTTGACTTAGCACTGATACATAAGATATATCATCACCATACTCATCACCATTACTCATAACAGTCTCAGTTGGATTGTGCTTTTCTTGCAAAACTGTGATCGTTTCTTTCTCTTCTCGTATGGTTCCATCTTCATTTTGACTCCTTTTTAATTTTACAGTTTTCTTGACTTTCTTTTCAAAATAACCTAGAGTGCTGTCTACTGGACTTGTAAGTTTTTTATTTTTATCAAACATTACATTATGGTCTTCAGTGAACGGTTCCAAGTTTTCTTGATGTTTTTTACAAATCCCATCTACAATTTCTGTTAACGTTTCTGCAGATTTACACAAAGGCAATTCCTTTTCATCTGCTGTGGGTAATCGAGAACATGTATCGCATAATTCTTCTATTCGTTTCACTTTTCTTTCGATACCATTACAAAAGTCACACGGTGGCAGAAGTACAGCACTTTCACCTATAGGAATCTCTTTCAACATTTCTTTACATTTATCACACAGTGTATCTGAAGTTTTTTCTTTCAAGTAACAAATTAAACCACATAATGGATCCAAAATTTTAATTTCATTAGTTTTCTCAATATTATCTATTGTATCTTTACTAAATGTTACGAAACTTTCAACTCTCTCTGATAACAGTATTTCTTGTTTCAGAACTAAAACTAAATTTATTACTCTGTCAATATTAAATTGAAGTTTATTTATAATTTGAGAATCTTTTTCTTTAATTCTTTTCAAATCAATATATTTTTTTAAATCTACACATGATTTAATAAAATCATCAACACTATTCGTGACCAAACCACTTTCTTTTGCTTTTTTACCAAGTAGTATCGTATTTTGGATTTCTTCTGCTAATCCGTCTAGTCCACTATCAGTGAATGGTTTTCTATATTTTTTTATATACATAGTTAACTTAGATTTAAAGTCTTTACAAGACGCTAGAAAATCTTCTATACTAGATAAGTCCATGCTTTCTAGTTTAATGTCAATGGTAATATTTTCTAAACCTGTAATGTGTTTTTAACTTTCTTTTACATAACCATTTATTTTTACAATATCTTGAATGTTTTTTTTTTATCTTTTAGGCATCATATAGCATTAAAATTTTCTAAGCCAAATAATAGAAAATTATTCCTTTCTAAATTTTTGACTAATATCTATAACTTCACTCAAATGATATTTTAAATGTTCAAAACCACTTTTTATAATGTCTATATTATTATTGAAATAAAGTATATGATATTGTTTACAAATCTGTAGAATTTTGTTTACATCAAAATTCTCAACGTTCTGCCCAAAAACCACTTTTCCTGATAATATTATATTATTTAATAACAGATACATATATTCTAATCTTACATTAAGGTTATCGTCTATAGCTATTGGTTTAATGATAAATTGTAATTGATATTATAATTTACTATTTATAATACTTATTTATTGGTTGGTGCAAAATTTTAGTCTTCCTTTTTATTATCTATCTGAAAGGATGTATTCTTTTTTGCAGTTTCTTTGCTTTTTTTAACATCAGGTTCTGATACGGACTTAAGATTATTTTCATTTATTTGTTCATTTACAAAATTACTCAGTGACCCACAAAGATCCTGCGTTGATTTTGTAGTATGAGTGTTTCCTTTTGATGTAGAAGCATTGTTATCGTTTTGAGGTTCAAATGACTGTAAAACTTCTTCTATGTCTGAACTCGAAGTAAAAAGTTCTGTCAATTTTAAATTAATAATATCATTGTTATCAATATAATATGCTTTATCAAAAAATTTGTCAGAAATATTATCAGGAGGCAAAGTACTAGAAGATGAAATAAATTCTTTAGTATCATTCATTGAGTTCACTCGAGTTGTTATTTCTGATTGATGTTTTTTAAATAAAGCCATCGTTTGAATCCTATATACTGACGATTCAGAATCTTCTAAACTTTTACATCCACAAAATTCATTAGATTTTGAAGAAACTTCTGATGACTGATACATTACTGTTTCACCTTCATTTTGGTTCTCCAAGATTTTTTTAGCTTTAACTGGTGCCCTAACTTCTTTCTTAAATTTAATAACTTTTTTTTCTTCAGTAATACTACCATCTTCATTTTGAACTCTCACTGTTTTAACAATTTCTTTTATTTCAAGTTCAAATGTGCCTAGATCCAAATCAGTTTGAGTTTTAGATAGACACTCAGATACTAACTCTTGTGGAGTTACAGAAACTGCTGATTTCGGAGATACTTTGGATTGCACTTTTTCTGGTTTTGACTTAGATTCCGTAGTTTCTTCCGAAGACATCCAAAGCTGCTTTTTGTCTGCATATTCTTGATTAAATCTTTTCAAACATATTGCACATAATTTATTTAACGGTATATCGGATATTATTGGCTCTATATTTGCACTTACATTTTCAGATTTACGCTGAAACGATTTACTTAATTCCTCTGCTGTTTTTAAAAATTGTTCTATATTAGTTGTAATAATACCTCTATCTTTTATGTCTTTTGTCATATTTACTATATTTTCTACATGGTTTTTAAATGATTCTAATAGCTTATTATCAATCGTTTTTTCTTCTTCTATCTTCACTGATAAATTATCTTCTGGTTGTAATAAATCTTCACAAACTAGACACTTCTCTATAGGCACTTCCTTAATTTTATCTCTCTCCATAAAATACTTTTTCTTACACATTAGGCATGTAATATTTGGTTCCTCGTGACCACAAGTTTTAAATGATCTTCGCTTGACTTCTAAAATTTTTTTTAATCGAAAAAACTCTTCTCTTGCTATTTCCTCCAATTCATCGTTAATATATATAATACTGGCTTTAGTTCTTGGTACCACTACTTTTCCTAAAACGTTTTGTTTCCTGCGAACAATATCACGTACTTAAAAAATATTCTTGCGTTTTCGACTGTTAACACCTTTTTTGAAAAAGAATTTTATTTTGAAAGGGTTTTATTTAAAATGTTATAGTATCAATTCTTTTTTTTTGCTTATTACATATATCTATTGTATTATTTCTGTTTAATACATCGAGAAAGTACTCGTATTTACGAATGCTTTGAAGCAATTTCTATATAAAATTCTTATATATTTATAAAATTTCTATACATTTAACATGACTATTTATTTATTTAAGTATAAATTGCTCACTTTCCAAATAGTGTAGTGAGCCAGTTCATGTTATGAATTCAAAAATTTTAAACAACATTTAGATAGATTTTAATATATGTAATTTGTCACTAAAGATATCAATATCTGGCTGCTGAGCAATCGGAGAATTGAGCAGAGAAATAGCATGAAAAATGGGAGCAAACTAAGCAGTCAAAGTACCAGTAACCGGCATCAATTGTCTTTAATATCATTTTTTTAGCTTTAATATATATTAACAATTTCAGTAAGTTTATTAAAATTATTATATAATATTTATGTCTTAACTAAAGTTATACTTGCCTGTGACTAAACTAAAGCAAAGTAATAATTTAATTTTTTTTTTTTATACAACTTAGAATGGCAAACAAGCTGACGGCCCACCTGATGGAAAGTGGTAACTGTCGCCTATAGACATGAGCAGTACCATGGACATAACAGAGTATACTGTTTCGCCCATATTACCCCCTATGCGTTGCCATTCCTGAGGACTCAGATGTTATTCCTCTGTACCCAGTAAATTCATGCCATATCCCACCCTTCATACCGAAACACAGCCATGCAAACACAACTGCTTCACGGTTGAAACACGAATAGGACAGAGGTACCCAAGCAATCTACTTGTGTACAAAGTCTCCCTCTGGTAAATATATTCATGTCATAAGGGTCTGCAGTGATAACTTTTTTGCTGAGTCATCTCTGTTTATTTACTATCTAGTAGGAAAGAAAACTTTCTTAGAACTAATAAACAAGTGCTTACTTAGTGGCGTTTCTGTGGGCATCTTCAATTAAAGCGAAGGTCGAGCGTAGATCTAGCATTGTTACTATTCTTTTGAGTAAATCCAACCAAGCATCCTTAGCCTGTTTTATTTTTTGGCCTCCGTTTGAGATGCCTAGTAAAGGGTAAGGGGCCGGCAAAACCTAAAAACAAATTTACTATAATGTATAAGTCTTCCAAGAGATTGATTGGAAGGAGACTTTATACAAAAGTTCTCTGCTTAGGTTACTTTGTCCCACTTGTGTTTTACGCCGTGAAGAAGCCGTTTTTGTGGCTGTGTTCCGATTTGAAGAGTAGAATATGGCAGTCGAATTATAATTATAAGATACGGAGACGTTACATCTTAGTCCAGTATAGCATTGCGCAAAGAGTTGCATGGGCGTAATGTCTGGACGTCATCATTTTGTGTTGTCCATGGTTTATATGCTATTGGCGATGGTTACAACTTTACATCAGGCAGGTCATCAGCTTATTTATGATTCTAAGTTATATAAATATTCCTTCCATACCTCCCAATCAACGCAGCATGCTCTTTCTTATTTTCACACCGCCACTTTCGAACCAACTAGCTCTTACTGGTTTAGTAATTCATTCAGCTAGTCTAACTTCGAAGATTCTTCTTTGCAAATTATATCAATTAGGATTTTTTTTAATGGGTGAAAATGAAATAGTAACCTCTTTTTTTATACAACTTAGAATGGCAAACAAGCTGACGGCCCACCTAATGGAAAGTAGTAACCGTCTTCTATAGACATGAGCAGTATCATGGACATAACAGAGTATTTTGTTTCGCCCATGATACCCCCCATGCGTTGCCATTCTTAAGGACTCAGGTGTTATTCCTCCGTACCCAGTAAATTCACGCCATATCTCACCCTTCAAACCAAAACACAGCTATGAAAATACAACTGCTTTACGGTTGAAACACGAATGGGACAGAGGTACCCAAGTAAACGACCTTTGTACAAAGTCTAAGTATATACTGGCAGGGCACTAGTGAATGATAATAAGTAAGGTAGAAAACAGGTCAATTGCCCCATCGTGACGATTTCAACAATTATTAATCACGACATTTTCCAGACGAAACGACGTGTGGAGATCAACCTGATATACTGATTGCTAACAAGGGAGCAGTTAGACTCCTTCACTGGACTAACAATCCCTTTCACCTTAACAATTAGATTTGGTTTCTTACCTCTATCGTACTATAATGTGTCACTTTCACGCCAGATAATGTTTTCACCGTTGATGTCACGAGCACGCTGGCCTGCAAGTTTTTGTAACATTAAGCGATTTTCAAAAAGATAGTTCGCAATTCGTCCAATATTTTGAGGACGCTGTTATATCGTCAATTCTGAATCTATTTTCATTACGTATATTCAACTTTTGTTTGAAAAAAAAAAATAACTGAGTTTTTTTTTCTCACAACTGGAATTGCATTCTGATTTGGGCAGTACATTTATAAAAAAATATTATTCACAAATGCTTATAATTGGTTTACTTGAATAAAAATATTTATTTATTTTACATTAAAAAAAAAATTATGCTATATATAATACATATGTAAATAATAAAAGTAAATTAATAATAATATAACATTAATAAATAAAAACTTATACACATACACATACATATATACATATATACACACATACACATACATATATATTACATATATATACATACATACACACATACATACACATACATATATACACTCCTACATACACATACATGTAATAATAAAACATAATAAAACATATATTAAGTACAGTAAATATTAATGAGAAGCCATCTTTGATACAAAAGAGCGGCCTAAATGACATCGCTTTGAGTATTAAAACAAGGCAAATCAATCTCTTCTCAGATCAACGAAATTTGAATCTTTTGGGTAATATGGACATGTTGGATTAAAAAGGACATTGAGAGAAAAGACAAAGGGTAGGTGGCTAGATATGTTTTACACTATTATATAGATATTAATATTATATATACATTGAGAAAAAGACAAAGGGTAGGTGGCGCACTATTATATAGATATTAATATTATATATAGGGGGGAAAGGGATTGTTAGCAATGGTGTTTGACAGCCCCATTGCTAGCAATATGCCCTATTAGGTTTACCTCCACGTGGTTCCCCCTGGAAACCATCGTGAACAATTCTTGTTGAATTCCTCACGATGGGCTAACTGACCTGCTTCATCCTCACCTATCATCCCTCATTGGTGGTGGTGGTGAAAAAAAATACAAGTATACACGTACATATATACACATACTTAATAGCACACATACAACAGAAGAAAATTACGAAGGAAAACGAAGAGAGAACACAGGAAAATAGTGCTAAAAAGAGAAGTAGTAGGATTTAACAGAGGGTTTGAAACTAGTAAGAATTAAGCTAGTAAATATATTTTAAAGAAATAACTTAAAAAAATTAAAATTAAATAAATTAAGAATAAGAATAGAATAGAATAGTATTATGTAGTTTAATTTCTAAAATATAATAATAATAATAATTAAATTTTTGCCATTCTTCACAAATTATAATGTACATATATTAATTAATCAATATATTGTGCAGTATTCGTATGCGGCTGGCAATAGGTACAAACTCAGCTTTTGCTGGACTGATGTAACTTATTAATAAAAATCTGCATCTTGGTTGCCAGCTTTTAGTTGGCCACAACCTAGGATTACCAAATGGCATTGTAATACATTTCCACTCTTCTTTCATTTAAAATAATTTTATTAAAAAACCTTATATGTGCAAAAATTAGCGGCGGGATTTTAGGCTGTAGATATGCTATTATTTACACAGATATGTATGTACATCATTCTCATTTATAAATTACCATTTACTTAATTACTACGTGTTATTACTAATAAGTATTATTTAATCAGTTGCCCGTCAAGGCCAATTTATTATCAATTTCTCGATGACGTCATTGAACTGATGATGGTTTAGTGTACGCGAATAAAAAAAATATTAATTTGACACAAAACTACAGGAGCCTCTGTGGCGCAATTGGCTAGCGCGTTCGGCTGTTAAAAATTTCGTTGTTACCGGAAGGCTGGTGGTTCGAGCCCACCCAGGGGCGAGCTTTACTTTTTTTTAGAATTTCTACATTTGAAATTTTTATTTAAAATTCTAATATAATCGCATTAAATCGTGACATCGTGTACAAAGTTAATATGAGACCAATACTGAAAGAAACACTTTTGCAAATGCAATAGCAAAAAAACTAATAAAAATCGGTACTGACGAAGCTATCGCGTAGATATTGTAACGTGTGTATAATAATTACCAGATGGAGACTTTGTACAAAAGTCGATTGCTTGGGTAACTCTGTTCCATTGGTGTTTCAACCGTGAAGTTTCGGTTTGAAGGGTGGGATATGGCGTGAATTTACTGGGTACAGAGGAATAACACCTGAGTCCTCAGGAATGGCAACGCATGGGGGGTATCATGGGCGAAACAGTATACTCTGTTATGTCCATGGTACTGCTCATATCTATAGGCGACGGTTACCATTTTCCATTAGGTGAGCCGTCAGCTTGTTTGCCAATCTAAGTTATGTTAAAAAAAATATCAGCCATTACTTGCCCACTGTTGAACATAAGCCTCCCTCGGTCAGGATGTATTGCCAATAATTGCCACGCTTGTCAGGCGGGTTGGCAACCGCAGTTAAACTTTGGTGATTTTTTAAGAGGGACGCTGCTGCCCATCCCTCGACCATTACGTTCCCTTAGTCGCCTCTAGTGACACCCACGAAAAAGGAACAAGTGTATGTTTGTATATAATCTAAGCCAATGCTGAATCTGATATTACTTTTGGCTTCAATAAGATTTATTTCTCTATTGAAATAATTTTATAATAATTGATTCTGTCATTTTTTACTGAAACGACAAACTGCTTGTTTCAAAGCAAAATCTGTATGTACCCAAATCCATTTTCTAAATTTTTTTTTTACGTAACTTAGAACGGCAAACAAGCTGACGGACCACCTGATGAAAAGTGGTAATCGTCGCCTATAGACATGAGCAGTACCATGAACATAACAGAGATATACTGTTTCACCCATAATACCTCCCCCCTCTCCCATGCGGCGCCGTTTCTGAGAATTCAGGAATAGTATTAAAAGTACCATGGACATACCAGAGTTTACAGTTTCGCCTATAATACCCCCTCTCCCCATGTTTGCCATTTCTGAGGACTCAGGAATATTATTAAATTATATTAAATATTTTAACTGACTTCAAAAAGAAAGACGTACTTATATCTCTTGTATTTTTTTTTTATATTTGTTGCCTCATAACTCCGTCACTTATAAACTAATTCAGAAAATTATTCACTTATCTCAAAGGATATACAGTTTAGTCTCATAGATATTTTATCAAAATCGATACAGTAATTTAGTTTTAAATAGAAAATAACTAGTTTTGCCACAACTGAAACCGGTTTTTTTGTTAAACACAATCTTAAATTATCAGTCCAATGTGTCTACGACACGTCTAGTCGTTTAACTGTTTATTTTCTGACACTTAAAGACTATTTTATTGTAGAGCAAAATATAATAATTATGGTCGTTAAATCACGTTAATTGCTTAATCCTTTATCAAAATTCATTTAAAAAAAATAGTTTTAAACTTGTCTCTTTTAAGAGTCACCAAGAATATTTAAAGTTAAATTAATCGATTCAATAACTACATTACATAAACGTTTTAAATTATTTTTGGTTGCTTTCGAGTGACTTTCAAATGTAGAGGATTTTCAATTCATCTTTCAATCATGTTCTTATATTTTTTTTTTTTTACAAAACAGGGGGCAAGGGAGCTTGCGGCTCACCTGATGGTAAGTGACTAGCGCCGCCCATGATCACCCACAACACTAAAAGCATTGCAGGTGTGCTTCCGGCCTTTTAAAAAGGAATATACTCTTTTCTTGAAGGTTATGCTGTCGTATCGGTTCGAAAATACTGCTGTTGGGAGTTGATTCCAAATATCATAGTAATCATTGACATCTTAGTCAATGCTGATGATTAAATTTATAATTGATATGATTTATTGTCTCATACATTAATTTTATTCTAAATTAAATTATTTAAATACATATTTTTTTTTTATTTATAGATCGTGAAAGCAACTGTGTTTTTCACCAAAAAACAAATGGGCCTCTGTGGCGCAATTGGCTAGCGCGTTCGGCTGTTAGTGTAGGGTTGTTACCGGAAGGCTGGTGGTTCAAGCCCACCCAGGGGCGTATTATTATTGTTAAAAATGGTAATTTTTTCTATCAAAAATAACGTTTACAAAAGAAACAATTCGCCCCTGGGTGGGCTCGAACCACCAGCCTTCCGGTATCGACGAAATTCGTAACAGCCGAACGCGCTAGCCAATTGCGCCACAGAGGCTCTTGCTATTTGCGGTGAAAAACACAATTGCGTCCACGACCTATGAAGTTAAAAAAATCATAATGCTCCGTTTTACTTCGCCGTCGTCGAGTGAAAAAATATACACTCAATAAGCCCCCCTAATTTTTTTTTAATACAACTTAAAATGGCAAACTACCTGACGGCCCACCTGATGGATAGTGGTAACCATCACCTATAGACACGAGCAGTACCGTAGACACAACAGAGTAAATTTGGGTTCTGTACTTTCCTTCTATTGATAAAACGATATCTGCACTTCTTTCCATCCTCAGGATTTTTTTATACCACTGAGGTGGCAAACAAGCATACGACCCACCTGATGGTAAGTGGTTACCGTAGCCTATGAACATCTGCAATACCAGAGGTATTACGCGCGCGTGACCGACCCTGAAGAAACCTCTTTACCCCCCTTTATTGTAAGAGGCGAAAATATAACAAAGATTTAAACAAAAATCTGCTCTTCTACCTCTGTCCCATTCATATTTCTACCATCAAGCAGCTATGCTTTATTTTAGTTTAAAGGATTGACTAATGAAATAACATAGTCATCGTCATTATATCAGCCGTTAACAGTCCACTGCTAAGCATAGGTCTCCCCCTTTTAGGGGGTTTTACCAGTATTTGCCACGCTTGACAGGCGGATTAGCAACCGCAGTTTGGCATTGGTAATATTTAAAGAAGGGCACTGCTGCCAATCCCTCGACCATCAAGTGTATGTAAGAAGTTTAAGCAAAAAATTACATGGTACAGAGACGTAATATCTTATTAAATTATATCAATTTTTTATGCCTACAATCTTATGGTAGTTTTTTTTATTGGATGAAAATGGAGTCACGCCTGCGCTAATGGGATACGCTGGCGGGGCACCAGTGAAGGGTGATCGATGAGGATGAAAACAGGCCAGTTAGCTCATCATGATGAATTCATCAGGAATTAACCATGATAGTTTCCAGGGGGAACCGCGAGGAGGTCGACCTGGTTGGGTATATTGTTAGCAATGGGATTCTCAGTCTCCATTACTAACAATCCCTTTCCCCTCAATCTTATGGTAGTTAAACAGCTGCTAAAAGTCCACATAACCAGTAGTATATTAATCATTTGTTTAAAGTAAATATTTGTTTTTATTTTCATTAACACAGGTGTCACAGTGTATTTCGTGATGTCCATGGATATCGTGTAATGAGGACCGTTGATCATCATTTTTCATTAAATCTAGACAGAGAGACCCAAATGTTTCTCTTTTCAGACATTTGACTAGTTGATTTTTTGTCTTTTATCCAATAAGACATTTTTGCCAAGGCTTTATTATCTTTCTGATATAGAAAACTAATTGCTTCTACACACATCTCATTAGACAGTCTTCTACATCCATTTTCGTAAAGTTAAAATTATGCACACCAATTCCAGAGACTCTTGACTTTTCCCCCAGAATACAATATATCAGATCATGAGAGGTCAAGTTCTTCTTATAACTCTCTGGCGTCTGTAGGAGATCATACAAGATCGACGATTACAGCAATTAAGGAAGTTGGGAGGAGTTTCCCTCATACTAGAAGTGGCTTAGTTGATGGAAGTTGGGAGGAGTTTGCCCCATGCTAGAAGTGGCTTAGTTGATGGAAGTTGGGAGGTGTTTGCCCCATGCTAGAAGTGGCTTAGTTGATGGAAGTTGGGAGGAGTTTGCCCCATGCTAGAAGTGGCTTAGTTAATGGAAGTTGGGAGGTGTTTTCCCCATGCTAGAAATGGCTTAGTTGATGGAAGTTGGGAGGAGTTTGCCCCATGCTAGAAGTGGCTTAGTTGATGGAAGTTGGGAGGAGTTTGCCCCATGCTAGAAGTGGCTTAGTTGATGGAAGTTGGGAGGAGTTTCCTCCATGCTAGAAGTGGCTTACTAGTTAGTTGATTAGAATTGTTCTGTATATTTCTTTTACTATTAGGAAGAGTGCGACTGCCAACATTTGAAGATTGACTACTACTATTATTAGCAAAAGATCTACGATGTACCATATTAGTCTTTAATCTCCGACCGTTATTCAGTCCACACGTATGTTGCGACACATGTTGAAGCACCTTCATGCAAATTAATAAATCGCTTCTCGGAGCCTAGTGGTGTCCGTTCAGCGCCCAAACTGCGAAGTGGCTTGTTAATAAGCCAATGTCGTGCAGTTAAGGTTGAATGCAATAATAAGAGCAATAAAAAAGGAATTGGGAGAAGTTCCTTCCATGCAAGAAGGGGCTTGTTCGTAGACCAAAGCCATTGATGCCAAATGAAAATGCAGGTTACGACTCTGGCATTATCCTGATGAAATGAAACATCGTGATGAATATCAACCGATAGGATACTGGCAGTATCTACTCGTCTCCATGCTAGTTGTGGATGTCTGGACGGACATTCCCACGTTAATGTCTTCTCCAGTACTTGTCTGTACTCTTGCCTTTGACAATGAACTGTTTCGTCATCCTATTCTCAAATATTCTTGACACATGCCCGAACAAACGTAACTACGTATCATACAATTTTTATGCAAATCAGTGTTTTTTCAGCTGTTCAGCGGCCTAAATATGTTACTATTACATTAGATCTATTGAGCAGAGCCTCTGTGGCGCAATTGGCTAGCGCGTTCGGCTGTTAACCGAAAGGCTGGTGGTTCGAGCCCACCCAGGGGCGATATTTTTTGCTATACTCACCAGTTTTCTATGAAAACTCATATCTTCACTCTTTTTACTAAAGCCACTACATTTGTACTCCAAGAACTCATACAATATTGAAGGAAGAAAACGAACAGACAGACAAACAAACAAACCCACTTTTATATTATTTTATCGGTGAAAATGGTATGGTAACCCCGCCTGTGCTAACGGGATACACTGGCGGAGCACCAGTGAATGAGAATGAAAACAGGCCAATTAGCCCATCATGATGAATTCAACAGGAATTAACCATGATAGTTTCCAGGGAGAACTGCGAGGAGGTCGACCTGATTGGATATATTGCTAGCAATGGGATTCTCTGTCTCCATTACTAACAATCCCTTTCCCGCCTCCCACTTTTATATTTATAATACATATTATTAAGAATTAAATGAACTTTTCCTTTAGAATGGAATTAAATGATGTTACTGGAACGGAATAAGATGGAAAGGAATAAAATAAAATAAGATTGGCATGGAATGTGATATATTACAATGGAATGTAGACCGCAATAGAATTAAATAGAAAAACATCAGTGTTCCATCGTAAATTGCTCACCTTAGTCTGTATATTTTCTAACACCATTTTATTCAAGTTTGGATAATAGTATCGACTCCTGGCGAGCAGCAAGAACGCATTGCCCATGTCATCATCAAAACTCTGGTATACTCTGTAACATTTGATTACTTGTTTAATGGAGATGTAATTTAAGATATAATGCATTAAAATAAATACACATAATGTGTACATCAGAGATTTTAAAAAGTATTCAGTCTCTTAAGTGTTCTTCTCAGCAGATAACAACATTCCGAAGCCTGCAGTAAGTAACAAGTCTATTGAAACAAGATTTGAATTTGAACGCTTTTATCACCTTCCGTTTCATCATCATATCAGTCTTTAACTGTCCACTGCTGGACATAAGCCTTCCTATAAAGGGTTTTGCCAGTAGTTGCCCTGCTTGGCAGACCGATTGCAACCGCAGTTAGGTTTCGGAGATGTTTTAAGAGAGACACTGCTGCCCGTCTCTCGCCTTCCTTTAGTCACCTCTTACGACACTTACGGGAAAGGAAGGGGTAAATTATTCTATGTCAGAACCACAACACCTTTCAAGAACCTGTCCCATTCGTGTTTCAACCGTGAAGCAGTTGTGTTTGCATGACTGTGTTTCGGTTTGAAGGGTGGGATATGGCGTGAATTTACAGGGTACAGAGGAATAACACCTGAATCCTCAGGAATATGATATGAAACAGTATAGTCTGCTATGTCCATGGTACTGCTCATGTCTATAGGCGACGGTTACCACTTTCCATCAGGTGGGCCGTCAGCTTGTTTGTCATTCTAAGTTGCATAAAAAAAAAAAAAAAAAACCTTTCGTTTAATCTGCTTCAAATATGTATGATATACTTTTAGAATTCACTAGCTTTTAAACGCGACTTCGCGTTTAAAAGTTAATTCCGCGTGGCCGAGACGTTGATTGATATTGATTTATCCTGGTCGACCAGAAGAGACCATATGAAGGTATAAGGTTCCTCCTGGAAACCATCGTGCTTAATTATTTATGAATTTGTCAGGATAAGCCAATTGGCCTTCTTTCATCCTCACCTATATATATTATCCCTCACTGGTGTTCCGTCAGCAGGTGCTAATAGCGTATGCAGGATTACCATTCTATTATCATATAAACTGTTAACTGTCCACTGCTAAACATAGGCCTCTCCCATAAGAGGGGTTTTGTCAGTAGTTGCCATGGTTAGAAGACGAGTTATCAAACACAGGCTTTGGTGATATTTTAGAGTAGGAGTTCCCAAACTTATTTTGTCTACAGCCAACTTTGAGAATAAATTATTTTTTAGCGGCCCCATTTTTCTCCTACTTAAAAACCACTATTACTTCAAGATCAACAAATCATCCCCCAAACCTCTACACAACGTCCCCATTTTTTTTTCTGGGTCTCTTATTAAGGGGGCGTTATCGCCCACTTTGAGAAAGGCTGTTTTAGAGGAACACTGCTGCCTATCCCTCGACCATTGAGTCCCCTTAAGACAGCCACGGGAAAGAAAGGGGTGGTCCGTTCTGTTGCGATCAGATGGCAAAAAATCTCATTATTATATACTTTCTACGAATGAATCACAATATTGTCATTGACAAGTTATTAAAATCAATACATGCCTCGATATTTCAGCACTTAATCTCCTCAGTTCCTTGCTGGTGGCCAGGGAGGTCCACTTCATCAGCTTCCGCCCAAGGCTGGCCAGGGTCGATCTGTTACGCATCTGCTGTAGTGCCACCAGAGACGGCATGCAGGGGTACCTGACCGCGACTTGACTCGCTGTGTTCTCTTCGTTATCTAGTATGAAGATATCAACATAGGCTTAGCATTATGAAAAAGATTAAATTTTTTTTTTATACAACTTAAAATGACAAACAAGCAGACGACCCAGCTTATGGAAAGTGGTAACCGTCGCCTGTAGACATGAGCAGTACCATGAACATAACAGAGTATACTGTTTCGCCCATGATACCCCCCATGCGTTGCCATTCCTGAGGACTCAAGTGTTATTCCTCCGTACCCAGTAAATTCAATTTGTATATCAAATTGTATAAAAAAAAAACTTAAAAACCGGATCATAATTTGGCGCCGTAGTTGCGTAACACAGCCACAAAAAATACAAACGAATTGAGAATTTTCTTCATCTTTTAGCCGCTCAAAAATTAAAAGGTTTTCTTAAGCAACGGATTGAATGCAAGCGTCTCCGGATATCCGGAGACCGATTTCACCCGGTCTAAAATATTCCGGTTGTGTGCAGGCCGAGCTTTACATTTATTAAAATAACACAAGAAAGTCGAAGTTATTAGTAAACTTTTTAAAAAAAAAAAATTAAAAGCATCGATACTAATTTAAATCTGGATAGTAGTTAGATATTTAAGTCTGGAGTACCAGAACTACGGTATCATCATTATATCAGTATCAGAACAGTAGTAACTGGGCGAAACAGTATACTCTGTTATGTCCATGGTACTGCTCATGTCTATAGGCAACGGTTACCACTTTCCATTAGGTGGGCCGTCAGCTTGTTTGCCATTCTAAGTGTATAAAAAAAAAGTCTTTAACTGTCAACTCCTTATGATGGGCAAAACTCCCCAAGGGGGAGGCCTCTCGGGGAAATTTGCCAATAGTTGCCACGCTTAGCATTGGATTGGCAATCGCAGTTAGGCTTTAGAGATGTTTCAAGAGAGACGCTGCTGCCCATCCCTCGCCCTTCCTCAGTCGCCTCTTCCAACACCCACAGGAAAGGAAGGAGTGAGCGTATACCGTTAGCGCAGGCGGACCATACCATTGTCATCCATTAAAAAAACACCATTGGGAAAAAGTGAGCTAAGACCCCTAACCCCTTTTTTATATATGTATAAAATATGTATATACACACACACACACACACACACACACACACACACAGGCATGCACGCACGCACGCACGCACGCACGCACGCACACACACACACACACACACACACACACGTGTGTGTGTGTGTGTATTTTTTACTATATACTATTATACATTTTATTATATTCTAAATGATTTAGTGACATTTACCATCGTCTTCTTTGAACATTTTCTGGCTTTTATGCGCACTACAATTGTATAATTTCTTTTTCACATATTTCAGTATTAGCCATGATCCCGATTTTTTATATTTACTATATTTTTTTATTTAAAATTATAATTTACACTATATTAAAATTTAACATCCTTTCTATTCTTTGATTACTACATTTTTCTTTAATAATTAATTTTTGGTTTAAAGAAAATATATCTTTTTAAATTTCATTCTGAGATTAGATATTTTAATGACACTGTCATTAAATATTTGATGACATAATAATTCTTCTATTTAAAATCTAAATTCTTTAGCAAAGGTTTTATTAATTTACTATATATATATGTGTTGCAGTCAAAACTCTTAACCAGTCAAAAGTACTTACATTGACTAGCAAAATCAGTCAAAAGTACTTTTGACTGAACAGGTTGGTCAAAAGTGGTTTTGACTGAAAATTTTCTTTTTGGTGGATGAAAATGGAATGGTAACCCCTCCTGCGCTAACGGGATACGCTGGCGGAGCACCAGTGAAGGGTGATAGATGAGAATGAAAACAGGCCAGTTGTTAGCCCATCATGATGAATTCATCAGGAATTAACCATAATAGTTTCCAGGGGGAACCGCGAGGAGGTCCACCTGGTTGAGTATATTGCTAGCAGTGGGATTTTTAGTCTCCATTACTAATCCCATCCCCTTCCCCCCGCAAATTTGCGATTAGGTTAGGTTAGGTTAGTTACTTTTAACTGTCATTTTAGTGAAAAGTATTATTGACTAGAGTATGCGGTCAAAAATACTTCTGACTGATTTTGCTAGTCAATAGTACTTTTGACTGGTTAAGAGTTTTGACTGCAACATATATATGTTTGAAGCCTTAAAATAGTTTAGAAGTGTGAATAAAAAACCGGAAAAAAAGATAGGAACTTCAATATTGACAGAACAGTATCGTCGACTTACAAATAAGTCAGGCTTGATTAGTTTGTTAGTAAGAATATTTAATTAATAACAAAATTTGTAGTAAGTCTTTATGTATAATTATATGTTGCCATGTGGTCCCGGAACAGTACTCTCTTTTCTTTCCCATGGATGTATGGTAAGAGGCAACTTCATTATATCCGAGATGCCTGTTCTCGACCCGCTGTAACCTAGGATTGCAGAAGAAATGTAGGTAAGTCTAGTGTTGCGTTTACCATAAAGGTATTTACTAACCTCTCACTACCAGAGGGAGACCTTATACAAAAGTCGCTTGCTTGGCCACCTCTGTCGCATTCGTGTTTCTACCGTGAAGCAGTTGTGTTTGCATGGCTGTGTTTCTGAAGGGTGGGATATGCCAGTGAATTTACTGGGTACAGAGGAATAACACCCGAGTCCTCAGGAATGGCAACGCAGGGGGTGTATCATGGGCAAAACATTATCTGTTATGTCCATGGTATTGCTCATGTCTATAGGCGACACCACTTTATGCCATTCTCCTGAATATATTTTTCTATTTTAACTGACTTCGAAAAAAGAGGAGATTATCAAATTGGCTGCGTTTTTTTTGAGTTTTATCATCATCATTATTCCACAGCCATTATCCGTCCACTGCTGGACATAGACCTTCCCCATAGACTATATAGCTAGATAGCCATAAGGAACGGTCCTGAGCCACTTGCATTCACTGACATTATTAAGTTTATTACCTCAGAATTCCGCCATTTGTAAACCGATTTGGAAAATTCTTTTATATTTAAAAAGTAAGATACTTTCAGATTACTTCTATAAAATTTTTATTAAAATCAATTCAGTCATGTATGTATATGTGTATATGTATGTATGTATATGTATTTGTATATGTGTTAGTATGTATATATATATATGTGTGTGTGGGTGTATGTATATATATATATATATATATATATATGTCGGCGCACAACACTAGCGATCGGCTCGCGGTCGGCCCAATCCAGTTGAGGTTGGCTCGCCTGTACCCTTTTCGACGTCCACTACATAGGACGTGCGCATAAAAATTATTTGTAAACCTTTATAATATAATCATTTAAAATTGGAGTCAGATTATTTATTCATATCCACCTCGGAACATGGTGACCCCGACGTGATTTTCAAGATATCAATTAATATAAAGTAACATTGCTTGAAGCCAGCCGGTCAACAGTATTAATAAAACACCGCAGCTAACGCTTAGCAAGAAAAATATTTATCTACCTCCATTACATGGGAATATATTGAAGAAATCTATATATCTGGTATTATTTGTTTCTGGAGAAGCTAATTACAACAATAAAAAACATCAACAATTACGGAAGGCTATCCACCAATTGCTTAAAGCCAGCCGGTCCACCAGCAGACTACGAGCAGTGCCGCAGCTACAGCTTAGCAAGGGAAGTGCCTTATCCTATCTTTCCTACCTAATATTATTATAATCATTCTGCCTCAATTTGCTTTTAGTTGCTACTTCTTAATCAGTGATTTTTTTCAGTATAAGTTGATTACGTAAATTTAATTTCTATTCTTTTTTTTGAGTCTATTAAATTAGGGGTACCTAATACTATTTAGTATACCTGTAGTTATTAGCGCATTATCTACAAGCTTATCGATTAATTGTAAGCTAAATAATTCAATAGTTTATCGTATAAACGTTGGTACATATCTTTTTATTATTTTATCATAACTACCCTACGATCTCAATTCAGAAAGATAGAAGTCGATTAAAATAGATAATTATAACACTATTACAGTGAATAACCAATAGAATAGATACAATTGTATACTAATGTATAATATAACAATAGTAGGTATAATGGTATAATAATTAAGTAAAACATACGTAAAAGATATCTAAATCCCTAAGTAGAAAATTAATTTAGTAGTAGTAAATTGTTTTAGTAGTTTGTTTTATTGTATCTGTCTATTTGAGTATTATTTAGTTAGAATATAGTTTGTTGCATATTTGATTATTAGTGCTACGCAAATACTTTAGTAAGATAATTATATCACATTCAAGTAGTTAGTTATTTCATTGTAATTTTATTACTATCCACTATGAAGTAATAATAAATATTATAAATGCAACATTAACATTTTATGTTTGGTACATTTTTTATAACATTTGCAATATTTACACATTCCAGTGCGCCAGCGCAGTTGCAATAAGTACCTACCGCTTACCTGGCTGCTGCACTCGCATCGCCCGGCCCTATTGTTTTCGTGCGTCGAGTGGTCTATTGCGTCATCGTCATAGGCCAGCTTGGTTACATTTACGTATCATTTATTTTATTTTTTTCTTTTCGTATATTTTTAGTTTATCAAAGTCAATCCCTTTTAAGTTTATTAAGTAAATTGTTTAAGTGTTATTTATAATGTCACACACCTCAGATCGATCTGTGAGAACACCTTTAGAGAACATTAAATTAGATGTTCCAACTATAAATCCTAGTAATATAAAGGATCTTATTACCAAACGAAGTTCAATTAAAGGTCGCATAACAAAGTACAGTAATTTTTTAACTAAATTTATTGATTCATATGATAAACATGATAAGACTAGTTTGCTTATGTTAACACAGAGATTCGAGAGATTTAAAGACTTAATGTCCATTTTTGATGATTGTCAATCACATATTGAATTTGTGAATTCAAATAGTTTGGAATCGGAACTTGATACAAGAGAGGAAATCGAAATTGATTTCTCTACTCTTATTGCTAAGACTCAAGTAATTTTAGAGAAAAATCAGATTGTAGATGATTATAAATCAATTCACTCTGGATCGAGTTCAGATTGTAATAAGTCATGTGGTCATAATGAGAGCTTTCACTTTAAACTTCCCACTCTAAAAATTGGGAGCTTTGATGGGACTTATTTTAAATGGATTGAGTTCAGAGACACATATACTTCGCTTATACATAACAATGATAATATTGACCCTATCCACAAATTTCATTATCTAAATTCTTACCTAGAGGGTGAAGCCTCTCGTGTCATTAGTAATTTAGAAGTTAGTGCTGTCAATTACAAAGAAGCTTGGCATCTCCTATGTGAGAGATATAACAACGAGAAGCAGTTAATACATAATCATTTAAATTCTTTGTGTAATATTCGGCCTGTCACTCGCGACTCTGCCAAGGGGATAAGGTTTTTGATTGATCATGTATCAAAGAATTTGCGCGCTCTTAATAATCTAGGTGAACCAACTCAGTCCTGGGATACTCTTGTCATCCATTTAGTCTCAGCAAAACTCGACGGCAGTACTAGCATTAAATGGGAAGAACATGAAAATAGTTTTGAGAAATCGCCTTCTTTAAATGATTTCTTTAGTTTTCTTAAGCGTCGAGCAGATGTTTTAGAATCATTAAATCACATCAAGCCTCATCGTGTAGATCAGATAAAGGTAGATCATAATTCATCTCTTAATCAAAATAGAAGATCTCACTTTAAATCTTTTGTGGTTTCAGCTAAGACCCAAGCCTCTGCTTCTTCACCTTCGTGTGTCCTCTGCCGCGGTAGCCATCGTTTGTATGATTGTGCATCGTTCCTATCCAAGCCAGTAGAGGACAGAATCTCTGAAGCATCAAGGTTAAAGGTTTGCCTTAATTGTTTACGTAAGGGACACTCATCACACCAATGCAGATTAAGTCGTTGTTCTATTTGTGAGAGACGTCATAATACCTTACTACATAGGGAGTCTTCTCAACCTGTAAACTCATCTCAGGTACATGCAGTTACTTCTAATACCGAAACTGCCTTATTTGCAGTCGGACAAAATTCTGAAAGCAGTGTATGTGGCTTCACAAATCATTTTAGTAGTAACAATGCCTTGCTATCTACAGCTTTGATAGAAGTACAGAATCCAACGACGAATAAGTTCATTACAGTTCGAGCCTTGTTGGATAGCGGAAGTCAGTCTTCTCTTATTACAAAAAGAATGATAAACTTATTGCAATTGACTTCTCTGCCAATCCGGGTTGATATATTAGGCGTTGGTAATTTATTTTCTTCTAATGCGTTAGAACGTTGTGAAGTTAACGTAAAATCTAAATATAACAATTTTAAAACACAATTATCATGTCTTGTACTTCCACAAATAACTAGCAATATACCTAATAAAACATTTGATATTTCTCAACTTCACTTGCCTTCTAATATACAATTTGCAGACCCTAACTTCAATCGATCTGCACCCATAGACATGCTATTGGGCACTGATATCTTTTGGGACCTGATTGAGTCTCAACAAATTAA